ACATAAAACTACTAACACACAATACAAAAAGTTTGTTCTAAACTTTTTTAGTAGTTTTTTAAATGTGTCAGATAGGATATATTGACTATATATATTTAGTTTTTGCTCAGGTTTTTGTAGGATTTGTGGATGATTAAGAGTCTGCTGAAACAGTGGAAACTGGGTTAGAGGGATGCTGGAGCAACTGTCAGAGCTGAGAGGGTGAGGAGCTTTGACAGAGTTGCTCTTAAAAAGCACAGTTTTAAGGGGTGTTATATCATCATTGTATCATCACCATCTATCATAACTATCAAATATTATGATTGTGGTTCTAAGAGGTGTGTCTGTGAATGAAGAACACCAATGATAGCCATGCACTATGATCAATCAGAAATCAGTGACAGGATATGGATGACTTTATGTTCGATACAACAACCTTTTTTCACTGTTAAATCAGACACACCTTCACATGTAAAACAAAATAACAAGTTTTGCCCATTTTTCATCATAGTTTGCTTGGAATGATGATTTGGACAAGAGACCGTTATATTTTCAGACAATATGATCATACTGACCTCACACTCATGTTTTATGTTCCCAGGGTGATAAAACACAGGACCCAGCTAACCTATCCCTGCTCAGCTTTGGCGAGGTGTTTGCGCTCCTTTTCGACAACCACTTCCTGTATGTGATGGACTTGAGGACAGAGGTTATCTCTGGCCGCTGGCCTCTGCCAGCCTACAGAAAATCCAAACGAGGATCTAGCTTCTTGGCCGCGTTACCTCCTGGCTCAATGGCCTGGACGGGGGCAATGACTCTGGACTGGTGTTTGCCACAAGCATGCCAGACCATAGCATTCATTTAGTACTGTGGAAGGAGAACGGTTAGAAATGAACAAGACCCCAATCTCCAGACTGCTAGGAAATGAGCCACAATCAAGTGTGCTCTGGAGTAATGAACCTTAACAGTCCAGATAGATTGTGCATGGACCAAAGCATTTTGTATTTATCCGTTTCTTCCTCAGCATCCAGTACTCCGCTAGACACAAACGGGAAAATTCACAGATGGAAATGCAAGGCAGACTAAGAAACATGTTGAAACTCTTACTACTACACTAAGTGCTGGATCAGCACTTGCTCCTGATTTCTGCAGAAACCTTGAACCTCTTCTGATCTTGGACAAGACAGAAAGAAATAAAACAGACTTCTTGAAAGCCAAGATGTTTCAGTGACAACAAAAACTGTCACCAAAGGTTCCAAAATTAACACAAGAAGAGAAATGATCCTGTAATAAGACTTTAATGTGGCAGTGTAATGTTTATTGTCAGATTTGCTCTTTGATCAGTTTAGCATTGCGCAGTGAGGATATTTGTAGCTGACCTTTAACCCATAGTCTTGTAACAGGGTGCCAACTTCTAACTGGCTACTGACCTTTTTTTCCACCAGAATAAGACTATGTTAAACGTGCTGTAGCTAGAACATGCCCACTGCCAAGCTGGTCACTGAGCTGATTCACCAAAACATTGGTTTCTTTGGAGAAAAGCAGGGTTGCCTTAAACACAGGTGCTGTAAATAATGGAGAACATCTCCTTTGACGTCAGATTATGACATCAAGGTAGATATTCCTCAACGTTTTTACAGACCATCCCCAAGGAAGCTGTATACTGAATCGTATGTTGAAAAGTGATTTGGTACATTTTTGTGTACAATGTGAAACATTGTGAGGTTTCATGTAATTCAGTGAATATGCTTTTCTAAGGGATGTCTGGTTTAAATGTCAGCTTGAGAAATGTGATGTGCCTTTTCAGTTCATTTGATGATGATTTGATGTTACAAACTAGAATTCCTTGATAGCGCAGGCACATTGCAGTAAGGTGAAGACTGCATTGTAAATCTTACTTTTCTGTTGAAGTTTTCATATTTACTGTGCTCTAACAGTCTAAGATGTCTGTAATTTTATAGTTATGTAAGTGACATGACTTGCTCAATGAATTGCTTTTATGAATCATTGACTGTAAAACATCAGGTGTATTTTTCTAAAGGCCACAATGCATTGCACAGCTGAGGAAGTGACTTGGCAAGCAGTCGAGAAAAACGCAATAGATGATTTTCCTGAGAGCAACTATGTAATATCATGCCTCGTTATGTACATCAGTTTTAACATCATGTCTCAGCTTGGGTTTCTACAAAACTGAAACTTTAACCATGAATTAGTGCTTTTCCCAGAATTTTCATTGATGTCTTCCTTTGCATTAGGCAGGATTGAAATGTATCCACGTGCACCAAACCTCATTTATGACTGTAACCTGTTTCTCACATGGATAATTGTACACAGCAGATGTACAGACAACCTAAACAAAATACCACCAACATACTGCATTCTGTACCTCTGTCTGACCATTGCACCACAGTATATCCTCCAGCAGCAAACATTTAAATTTAAAAAGTAAAAACAGAAAGTTCTCTATTATGATTTGTGTATATAGGGAAATAGGCCAGGAGAAATGAACCCTGAATGAAATGTATCTTTTCACAGTTTCAATGCCATTGCATTCAGGCACTGCACAGTGTTGTTCCACAAAACCTTCTATTGCACTGTTATAGCTCTTTGGTCACCTACATTAATCTACAGTCAGCTTCAATATTGCAGTCTTTCAAATAAATAAAAGTAGCAAATGCACCTAGCTGTGTGCTGTATATGGTCATGTTGCTTTTTAAATGAAAAAAAAAACATCATGTTCTTGATGGATGTCATGTTCTTTGAGAGCAGGAGATCCGGCCACACGGTGCATGATGGAGCTGACTGACCGTTTGCCGAATCTGAATTTGCATAAACACAACTCGCTCTCAACTTAATGCAAATAAGCCTGAAACTGAGCTAAAACTGTAAAGCTGGGCAGGCTGATCAAATATGAATCAAGATTCCGTAACTGCATTGCCCATTACTCACCTCAAATGTTTTCAGAAACACATTTTAATGTGCTCCTGTTTAGCTCTAATATGAGAAACTTTCTGACACAGCTATTATGGAGTTTTTTGCTTATTTGCATAATCAGAAACACATTAATGTGACATCTGCTTTTTTGCTTTGGACAATTTGGGATACGCATTTCACAAAAATGTGAAATGCTGTATCCCAAATTTGTCCAAAGCAAAAAAGCAGATGTCACATTAATGTGTTTCTGATTATGCAAATAAGCAAAACTCCATAATAGCTGTGTCAGAAAGTTTCTCATATTAGAGCTAAACAGGAGCCACATTAAAATGTGTTTCTGAAAACATTTGAGGTGAGTAATGGGCAATGCAGTTACGGAATCTTGATTCATATTTGATCAGCCCTGCCCAGCTTTACAGTTTTAGCTCAGTTTCAGGCTTATTTGCATTAAGTTGAGAGCGAGTTGTGTTTATGCAAATTCAGATTCGGCAAACGGTCAGTCAGCTCCATCATGCACCGTGTGGCCGGATCTCCTGCTCTCCAAAGAACATGACATCCATCAAGAACATGATGTTTTTTTTTTTCATTTAAAAAGCAACATGACCATATACAGCACACAGCTAGGTGCATTTGCTACTTTTATTTATTTGAAAGACTGCAATATTGAAGCTGACTGTAGATTAATGTAGGTGACCAAAGAGCTATAACAGTGCAATAGAAGGTTTTGTGGAACAACACTGTGCAGTGCCTGAATGCAATGGCATTGAAACTGTGAAAAGATACATTTCATTCAGGGTTCATTTTCTCCTGGCCTATTTCCCTATATACACAAATCATAATAGAGAACTTTCTGTTTTTACTTTTTTAAATTTAAATGTTTGCTGCTGGAGGATATACTGTGGTGCAATGGTCAGACAGAGGTACAGAATGCAGTATGTTGGTGGTATTTTGTTTAGGTTTGTCTGTACATCTGCTGTGTACAATTATCCATGTGAGAAACAGGTTACAGTCATAAATGAGTTTGGTGCACGTGGATACATTTCAATCCTGCCTAATGCAAAGGAAGACATCAATGAAAATTCTGGGAAAAGCACTAATTCATGGTTAAAGTTTCAGTTTTGTAGAAACCCAAGCTGAGACATGATGTTAAAACTGATGTACATAACGAGGCATGATATTACATAGTTGCTCTCAGGAAAATCATCTATTGCGTTTTTCTCGACTGCTTGCCAAGTCACTTCCTCAGCTGTGCAATGCATTGTGGCCTTTAGAAAAATACACCTGATTTTTACAGTCAATGATTCATAAAGCAATTCATTGAGCAAGTCATGTCACTTACATAACTATAAAATTACAGACATCTTAGACTGTTAGAGCACAGTAAATATGAAACTTCAACAGAAAAGTAAGATTTACAATGCAGTCTTCACCTTACTGCAATGTGCCTGCGCTATCAAGGAATTCTAGTTTGTAACATCAAATCATCATCAAATGAACTGAAAAGGCACATCACATTTCTCAAGCTGACATTTAAACCAGACATCCCTTAGAAAAGCATATTCACTGAATTACATGAAACCTCACAATGTTTCACATTGTACACAAAAATGTACCAAATCACTTTTCAACATACGATTCAGTATACAGCTTCCTTGGGGATGGTCTGTAAAAACGTTGAGGAATATCTACCTTGATGTCATAATCTGACGTCAAAGGAGATGTTCTCCATTATTTACAGCACCTGTGTTTAAGGCAACCCTGCTTTTCTCCAAAGAAACCAATGTTTTGGTGAATCAGCTCAGTGACCAGCTTGGCAGTGGGCATGTTCTAGCTACAGCACGTTTAACATAGTCTTATTCTGGTGGAAAAAAAGGTCAGTAGCCAGTTAGAAGTTGGCACCCTGTTACAAGACTATGGGTTAAAGGTCAGCTACAAATATCCTCACTGCGCAATGCTAAACTGATCAAAGAGCAAATCTGACAATAAACATTTACACTGCCACATTAAAGTCTTATTACAGGATCATTTCTCTTCTTGTGTTAATTTTGGAACCTTTGGTGACAGTTTTTTGTTGTCACTGAAACATCTTGGCTTTCAAGAAGTCTGTTTTATTTCTTTCTGTCTTTGTCCAAGATCAGAAGAGGTTCACAGGTTTCTGCAGAAATCAGGAGCAAGTGCTGATCCAGCACTTAGTGTAGTAGTAAGAGTTTCAACATGTTTCTTAGTCTGCCTTGCATTTCCATCTGTGAATTTTCCCGTTTGTGTCTAGCGGAGTACTGGATGCTGAGGAAGAAACGGATAAATACAAAATGCTTTGGTCCATGCACAATCTATCTGGACTGTTAAGGTTCATTTACTCCAGAGCACACTTGATTGTGGCTCATTTCCTAGCAGTCTGGAGATTGGGGTCTTGTTCATTTCTAACCGTTCTCCTTCCACAGTACTAAATGAATGCTATGGTCTGGCATGCTTGTGGCAAACACCAGTCCAGAGTCATTGCCCCCGTCCAGGCCATTGAGCCAGGAGGTAACGCCGGCCAAGAAGCTAGATCCTCGTTTGGATTTTCTGTAGGCTGGCAGAGGCCAGCGGCCAGAGATAACCTCTGTCCTCAAGTCCATCACATACAGGAAGTGGTTGTCGAAAAGGAGCGCAAACACCTCGCCAAAGCTGAGCAGGGATAGGTTAGCTGGGTCCTGTGTTTTTATCACCCTGGGAACATAAAACATGAGTGTGAGGTCAGTATGATCATATTGTCTGAAAATATACGGTCTCTTGTCCAAATCATCATTCCAAGCAAACTATGATGAAAATGGGCAAAACTTGTTATTTTTGTTTTACATGTGAAGGTGTGTCTGATTTAACAGTGAAAAAAGGTTGTTGTATCGAACATAAAGTCATCCATATCCTGTCACTGATTTCTGATTGATCATAGTGCATGGCTATCATTGGTGTTCTTCATTCACAGACACACCTCTTAGAACCACAATCATAATATTTGATAGTTTATGATAGATGGTGATGATACAATGATGATAACACCCCTTAAAACTGTGCTTCTTTTAAGAGCAACTCTGTCAAAGCTCCTCACCCCTCTCAGCTCTGACAGTTGCTCCAGCATCCCTCTAACCCAGTTTCCACTGTTTCAGCAGACTCTCTTAATCATCCACAAATCCTACAAAACCTGAGCAAAAACTAAATATATAGTCAATATATCCTATCTGACACATTTAAAAAACTACTAAAAAGTTTAGAACAAACTTTTTGTATTGTGTGTTAGTAGTTTTATTGTTATTCTGTTTTGTTTTTATGTATTAATGTATTACTGTTACACACTTGGTGAGATCTGCTCTAGGAAGATAAGAAAAAAAACTAAGACACAAGAATGAGCTATTTGAACTCCACAACTTCAGTAATGTTAAGCTGCAGAACTGGCTTTTTTTACTAACCCATATCACAGAGAGCACATTTTGTCATGTATGCTATTTTACCTGAGAATCTCAAAACTGGCAAAGTCCCACTGATAAACTCCGAGGTCAGAGCTGCAGACGATGTAGCGTCCGTCAAACTGCAGGCGAGGCTGGAGGCTGATGCTGCGGTCCTCTGACACTGACAGGGTCTTCAAACCTTACAGTTGATTTCTCTCCCTAAGGCCAGACCTGCAGAGGGAACACAGTGTTTGCTCCATCTTATGGACTCTTCATGTATCGCAGCTCACACATGAGAGTATCAGCTTCAAATGACTGTATTTCTTCACTAAAGAAACAACTGGAGACAGGAGCATTACCTTAATTTCATACTTATCAGCACTTAGGAGGATATAATCACCAGGACTATGCACCATAGATTCTACTTCACTCTTCTGTAACAACACCTGATGGGAAATATCAACACAAAATCCATATTTGAAACACATCAAGCATTTCATGGAGGAACTCTGATCATGTCAGTTAACACTTCAGTTTGAGATTTCTATCAGTGCTAGGGATCTAGCACATTACTAAGGCACTAAACACATTTATAACAACATTGGGAACATCCTTGCTTTTCCTAAAATGAAATCTAGCTAAGGTGAGCTGACCTTGGTGACCCACTCAGTGTGTCCAGTCAGAGTGTTGAGA